AAATAGAAAAAATATTAATATGATAGCAAAAAAAAGCTTTAAGACTGAACCAGAGTTAAATACTTCCTCTACTGAGATAAGAAATATTATCGAAAGTATTACCAAAGAGTATGGGGAGGGGGTTATTACCACTTTGGGAGAAAGTAAATTAAAAGCCCAAAAAACCTTGTCAACTGGTAGCCTGCTTTTGGACCAGGCGATTGGGACGGGAGGTTATGTTTGCGGAAAAATAGTAGAAATATTTGGTTTAGAGTCCAGTGGCAAAAGCACCCTTGCTTTACATGCGGTCAGCGAATGCCAAAAATTAGGAAAAAAAGCAGTTTATATTGATTTAGAAAATGGGTTAGATATTAAATATGTGCGAAATATCGGGGTGAAAAGTGAGGATCTGATAATTGTTTATCCGAGTAGTGGCGAAGAAGGCTTCGAGATAATAAGTAAATTAATTACCGAAGGGGTTGATTTAATTGTCGTAGACTCAGTTTCTAATTTAATTCCACGGTCCCAACTAGAAGCCAATTTAGAAAAGCATAAAATTGGTTCACATGCTCTATTAATGTCGTGAGGATTACGAAGATTAAAAAGCGAATTGACTAATAAAGAAACGGTTATTATTTTTATTAATCAAATCCGGAATAAAATCTCCACCGGTTTTTATGGAGGCAACCCTGAAATAACTACCGGGGGAATGGCCTTAAATTTTGACTCTGACTTACGGATTAGGTTGAGAAGAAAAGATAAAATTGAAAAAAATAATGAATTGGTTGGGATTGAAGTAGAAGCCCGAATAGTAAAAAATAAGTTAGCGGCACCCGGCAAAACGGCTAATTTAGAAATAATTTTCGCCCAAGGCATTCAAAAAGAGCGAGAAATTATTGACTTAGCCACTGAGTTAAATATTATTCAAAAAAGTGGGACCTGATATTCTTATGAAGGAAATAAATTAGGTCAGGGGAAAGAAAATGTCGCCGATTATTTACTGGAAAATCTTGAACTTTACCAAACCATTGAGAAAAACGTGATTAAAACAATTACTACCGATACATAAAAAGAATACTAGCATTTTAATACTGCAAATTTTATCACGGATTTTGAACCTTGCTGATTAAAGCCTGGAAGTGCTGAGGTTGATGGATAGCCATTTCCGATAACTGCTTACGATTTAGTTTAATTTGTGCTAAGGTTAATAAGCGAATAAACCGCGAATAAGTTAAGCCATGGGGACGACAAGCATTATTTAAACGAGTTATTCACAAACGACGAAAATCTCTTTTTTTTTGCTTTCGGTCGCGATAAGCATAAGCCCGAGCCCGCATTACATGCTCTTTGGCAGTTTTAAATGGTCCGCTTTGGTGACCAAAACCTCCTTTGGCTTCCTTTACTATGTCTTTCCGACGTTGACGTGTTACTGGTGAATTTGTCACTCTATTCATATAATTTTATTTTTTTAATAATTTAAGTTGGGTTGGCTCAGGTTGGTTGAGGTTTAAGTATTACCGTGTGCAAAATAAATGTCTGTTTTTGAAGGCAAGATTATCAGAAAATATTAATTTTATTAATATCCTTCTATTCTTGATAATAAAAAAGCGAAAAATAATTTTGCACTTTGTAATATCTAGCCAAAATCCATTAAATTAACCAAAACCAAGTCTAACCAGAATTAGTTCAATATAAATAAAATTAAATTAATAACAAAAGCATATGGTAGAAAAAGCAGTCGAAGTTAGACAAGTCAGCAAAAGGTATGGTAATAAAATCGTTTTAAATAATGTTTCTTTTGTGGTTCGCAAAGGAACTATTCATGGCTTTATTGGTCCCAATGGAGCGGGTAAAACTACTACTTTACGCATTTTAATGCGGCTAGTGGTCAAGGATGTGAGCGGGGATATTTATATTGAAGGAAAATCAGTGAAAAATGACCCTCGTTTTAATGAAAATTTAGGATGAATTGAAGCTGAACCTCATTTTCCTAATGATAAAGTAAAAACTTATGTGTTAGATTGTGCCCAATTGGCTTTGGAAAACTGGAATTCCCAAAAAGAAAGGGAAGTTTTAAGCAAATTAAGAAAATTTTTATTCTCTTTACCTTCGCAACAATTTAGTGAAGAACAATCCTGTAATTCCCTTTCTACCGGTCAGAAAAAGGCCTTACAAGTGTTCATATTAAGTATTTGTCGACCAGTCAAAGAAAAAATATTAGTTTTGGATGAAGTCTTTAACGGGTTAGACCCGAGCCTGCGGCGGGATTTATTTAATAATTTAAAAGGAATTCGGGACAAGGGCGGCACGATTTTGCTTTCCACCCACATTCTTTCGGATTTAGATAAGTTGGCCGATGACATTACGATGATTAAAAAAGGAGAAATAGTTTACACTGGTCAAAAAACCGCCGATGTTGAACAGACTTATGAAGATTACTTTTTTGAAAAAGGTCGCAAGGGAGTTTTTGAATTATAAATATTAAATTATGTCGCAAGTTGGAAAATTATACAAATTCTATTTTGGAAAAATCTGGAAAAAAAATTGGTTAAGGATTCTCACTTTCACTATTCTAATTGGAGTAGTTTGATGGTTCGTTATTCCTTGAGCCGCTCAAAAGGCTCTCAAAAC